CTTTCTCACATTCATTACTTCCACAATCCTTCTCCCGTGTATGTGTTTTCTTATGTATGGTAAGGTATGATTTCTTAATGAAGGATTTCTCACATTCACTACATTTGTAGAGTTTCTCTTCTGTGTGTATTCTCTGATGCTTACTGAGTTTAGACTTTTTTTTTTCCTTTTTGTCTTTTTTACTGACCGGTAATGGGATCGCAACCCTCGGTGTTGCGCCCGTACCGGGGACCGGCAACGGGATCGCAACCCTCGGTGTTGTGCCCGCACCGCGCTCAGCCAGTGAGCAGGAACCGGTCTCCACATGGGATCCGAACCCTCAGCGGGAGCGCCGCTGCGCTCCCAAGTGGCGCACTCTCCAGTGCGCCACCGGGCCGGCCCAATATACTAGTAATATTGATTTGATCAACATGTGTCAACATTGAATCCCCAAAATATGTATAATTAACTATGATTCAATAATAAATAAATAAATAAAATAAAAAAAGAGAGATTGCCAAAAAACAAAACATAAAAAAAAAAGTCACTTTTAAAGAACTATTATCCCATTGGGGACAATTCCACCTGCCTATATATGTAGCGAGAGTTAAAAACTATGAGGACAGATTTTATAAGCTACAAGCAGAAGCAGTTCCTTTTTTATAGTCATTCTAGCTAAGTCTCAAATAGAAGTGGTACATTTTCCTTCATTACACTGAAAAAAAAAATCAAATGATACTTCTGGTTGGTGTTGACATCATTTTAGGATTTGTTGCTTAGTGTTGCTTTGCCTCCCATGGATTTGTCACCCTACTTCCCCTGGGTGACGGAGATGCAAAGGATTACTTAAAGCCCATCTCTTCTGAGCAGTGAGAGACCCCGAAGTGGTTAATTTTCCTGGGACCCTCCAGCAGGAGGCATCCCTTCCTTGGGAAATTAACCCCGAATTGGGGTTCTCTTCCTGCATTTATTCTCCAGACCAGGAAGTTACAGGAAGAGAACCTAGGTGGGGTTACAGTTTAACAATATAGGCTGGTAACTTTCAGTGAAACAAGTCAGATGACATTCCAGTAGACAATTAAGTTATCCACCAACAAAGGCTTGATCTTAGCAAACATTCCTTCTCCCTCCAGAAATTTTCCAGTATCTTTATATAGTAATCAGTAACTAGTGTGTCCTTAACCAGCAACCTTGCTGTGCCACAAATCTTTATCTTACACTAGAGACTTTATAGCCTGAGGAAAATTTCCAGTCATCTGCAAGGTCAATATTTGAAACTGTAAGGCTTTGGAAAACCAGGCCCTGTGAAGTACATATGCTTTATAGTATATTCCACAAGGATTGGTTCAATCCTTGGTCTTAGTTTTAAAGGGATACAAGCTATTTGTTAAAATAAAACCAACTAATGATTCTGATATTTGGGACTTTATCTAAAGTACCAAACTTGCAAACAAATAAAACGGGACAACAAATTTCAAAAATCTCTTTCATAGAAGAGTGAACTTTTGCTCAGAAATCCCTGATTTTAGATAGTTCAGTTTTCCATTTAAAGTCCATAAAGAATATTTATTAGAATTGCTTTTACTATGATCTAAGAGCTCTTTAAAAGTATAGAGTCAGTATAGGTCAAATTTATTAGGAGCTTGTATTTCCCAAATACTCATTTCCTCCATGACTTTGTCTGTCTGGGCCAGGCACCCCGTACATGATGATTTCGGTGCATCTGAATTTATATCTCAGTCTAGAGCAAATGGCCCTAAAGTCATGAAAAGAATCAGAATGTCTACCACTGTGCAACATAAAGTTCCATTTATTTTCCCACATTATTGCTCTTTGTATGATGGAAAAAAATTAAATATTGCCATTAGATCACACATAACTTTTCTGGTTGTTCATATGTAAGGGTGACTGTATGTCTATATCCCACCCATCTATTGCAAGGCAAGTCAACCTACATTTCTTTATTTGCTTTTTTTTTTTTTTAAGTCAGCTTACATTGATGCCTTATCCAGGGTGAATCTATGTTTTGAGTTTTTTAATAAAGTGAAAACTGAGTTCTCCCCTGTCTGATAGTTAAATACAAAAAAAACCTTTGAAACCCCAACTAATCAGAAATCTGTATTTTATTTCTGTTATACTTGCCCTTGATAAGAAAGTAGCAAATGACAACCAAACTGACGAGGGGAATTTTAGTTACTAAAAAGTAACAGAATGTGTCCTGGACTCAGGACAGATTATGTATAATCTCCCATATTTTGTGAATTATATATATCATCTACATGGAAAATTTGTATTTAATTCTGACTGAGTTATCAAAGAAATCTTCTATCCTATTCCTTATTCTGTTCTTGTGAGGGTGGAAAGGAAGATTATGCTTTCCACAGAAGTTTCAATAACTGTTCAAGCAAAAAGATGAAAATATTGGGGGGTCTATCTGTTTTAACCAGAAATGAATCCAGTCAAGAAGCTCATTTCCTAAGTATTCCCTAAACATTCTACTTACTATGCTTCTCAATCCATTCTCCTGTGTCCCCAAACAAACATATCCAGAACTAAAATCATGTCCTGATTTAAATATCTAACTTACCTGTGACTCATAAAATTCTCACGGGATATTTTCAGATCATTTGGGATTACTGGAATTCTTGGTTGTACCTGAAGAAGAAAATCTCACTTGGAACATTGCCCATAACTGCATTCTGATTTAGATAATAATGTACCACCTTCATGAACTTGAGTTGTATTTGATATCAAAGTCATTCATACATCCTTTTGTGATATGAGTGAACCAGGAAGTATCATCTTGCCCTAAGTCATAGGGTCTTTGTTCTTCCCTGGCTATCAGACTTTGAGGTACGGTACCTCAAGATTAGTAAGCTGTCAAATCCTGTTTGCTTAGACCACCTGCACCCATTCTTCAGGTCCTGGGATAACTATCACTTTCTTACAGAGACTACTGACTCTTGGATTACTGTTTGGTAGTCCTCTGCCTTCTGCTGTCATTACTCTCTGGGCTTCCTCCATTAGAAGACTCATAACCTTTTAATTCATGAATTTGTTTAATGCATGGCTTCCCTGGTAGACTATCAGCTTCATGAGGGCAGAGACCACATCTCTATTTTTTATATTTCCAGCCCTTAACACAATGCCTTTTTAAGAAATATTTTTGATTGAATTAGTGAATGAATGAATGAATGAAAATTTTAAATGTGCTCTTCATACAGGGCTAAAATCACTATACGGTTACAGTATTCCTGGTTAAGAAACATCACTTTCTTGAGCCTTTTCAGATTTGTTACTAGCACTAGATGTTGGTTTTCTTTTGGAGAAGTGTTTTCACTAAGAAGCATTTGTAAGATTACTTCTCAAAAATTATAATAGCTATAACAATCACAAAGATGTGGGTGAGTTTACATGGTCTTCTCACTGAGTGACTAGTACCAAGTGACTTGTTATTTAAACTCATGATACAAGAAAATTGCAAATTACAGGGTGTCAAGGATCTTTAGAGGTGCTTGAAAATAGCAAAAAACTGAATTTGTGGTCTACACAAATGCCAAACACCTATTACGTTTAATCAGATTGTCCTCCTAACTCATTAGCCAAGGGGAGGATGGGGGTGGGGGAGGAAGGAAGTGATCTGGTAACAAGGAGCATCTGAGGGTAGCGGGGGCAACAAGGCCTTTGGTGAGAACCTGAGGTTTCTAGATACTACATAAAAGGGGATGAGAATGTGCCAGAGACAGACTTTGCCTTTTTTTCAGAATTTTATCTCAAGTTGGTTCTGCTCCAGGGAAAGATGCAAGAGACTCTCTACCTTCTCCTGAATAGCATGATCCCTGTTCTAAAGCCCCTAAATCCAGCTAGAACTATTATTTATATGAAGTCGGCTACAGGGGCTACCTCAGAACAAAGCTGCCAAAGACAGCAGTTTTTTGTTGTTTCTGAGAAAAATCATATTAATTCTTTAAAAAATAATTATTTTAAGACTGAATTATTAATTCTTTAAAAACCCTGAAGATACTTTTTTTTCCCCAGGAAGACTTCCCTGATCTTTACTTTCCCTGCCCCTTCACTCCCCATCTGGTCTATTTCTGTTTATATTCATCAAATTTTATTGTCTTTTTTTTTGTTTATCTATTGGCTCCTTAAAGGCAGGGCTTATGTTTTACTCTTTCTATTTTTTTTCATTTTCTTTGTAGCTGAGATATTTAAGTACCTCACCCATGGCAGGCAATCAATAAATATTTATTGAAATGAACTGAGTTATACGAATGGACCTTGAAATCAATTTATGTGAGAGAATGCCTATCTCCATACAGTATGTCTAGCTTGACAGTCCTACTTTTAAGGGACTTGAAAGTGTTAATTAGAGAGCAATGTGGATAACAGAAGGACTACAAAATACGTGCATTGAGGCGGAGATGAGCCATTTGGAGTAGAGATGTGATAAAAGACAGATTAAACAAAATCAAGACAGATATCCACGGTGACTCACAATCATAACCATCATCAGTAGGTATTTCTTCCACAGTAAATGGTTAAGCTCCTGGCTCAGTGTAGGAATATGAGTATTAAGCAAGACGGGTCTTATTTAGGATTTATTTTTTTTTTTTTGAGATTCGTCCATTTTGTGCTTTTATTTTTTTAAAAAAGTTTTATTTCTAATCTTTTTTATTGAGATATAATTCACATATCATAAAATTTACCATCTTAGTATACAATTCAGTGGTTTTCAGTGTATTCAAAAAGTTGTGCAACAATCACTACTATTTACTTCCAGAACATCTCATTATCCCCAGATAGAAACCCCCTACCCATCAGCAGTCATTTCTCATTTCCCTTCCCCCCAGTCCTTGGCAACCACTATCTATTTTCTCTCCCTGTGCATTTGCATATTAAGGACATTTCTTTAAATGAAATCAATACAATATGTGGCCTTGTGCATTCTTTTCCTTAGCATAATGTTTCCAAGGCTCATCTATGTTGTAGTATGTATTAGTATTCATTCCTTTCCATGGCTGAATAATATTCCGAATAATATTCCAGTTGGATAGCTAGACCACATTTTGCTTAGGCAGTTGATGACATTTGAGTTATTTCCACTTTTTGGCTACCATGAATACTGCTGCTATGAACATTCTTGTATGAGTTTATGTGTGGAAATATGTTTTCAGTTCTCTTGGGTATACATTTAGGAATGGAATTGCTGGGTCATATGGCAACTCTGTGTTTAAGTTTTAAGGAACTGCCAAACTGTTTTCCAAAGCAGCTGTAATGTTTTGTATTCCCATTAACAATGTATGGGGGTTCTAATTCTCCACATGCTCATCAATACTTGTTACTGTCCACTGTCTTTTCTATTATAGCCATCCTAGTGAATGTAAAGTTTATCGCATTGTGGGCTTGACTTGCATTTCCTTAATGACTAATAATGTTGAGCATCTTTTCACGTGTTTACTGGCCATGTGTATATTTACTTTGGAGAAATATCTATTCAACTTTTCTGCTCACTTTTAAGCAGGGTGTTTGTCTTTTTCCTGTTGAGTTGTAAGACTTCTTTATAGACGCTGGAGACTAGTCCTTATTCGATATAGTCTCTTATCCAATGATTTGCAAATATTTGGGTTGTCTTTTCATGTTATTGATGGTGTTATTTACAACACGAAAGTTTTAAATTTGATGAAGACCAATTTATCTATCTTCTTTTGGTGCTTGTGCTTATCTAAGAAACCATTGCGTTCTCCAACGTCATGAAGATTTACACTTATGTTTCCTTCTAAGAGTTTTATGGTGTTAGCTCTAATGTTTAGGCACTTGACCCATTTTGAGTTATTTTTCTGTATTTGGTGTGAGGAAGAGGTACAACTTCATTCTTTTGCATATGGATATACAGTTGTTCCAGTACCATTTTATTTTATTGAAGAATATTTTTTCCTCATTGAATTGTCTTGGCACCTTCGTCAAGAATCAATTGTTCATAAATGTAAGAATTTATTTCTGGACTCTCAAGTTTTTTCCATTGATCTATATGTCTGTCCTCATGCCAATACCATGCAGTCCTGAGTGTAGTTTTATAGTAAGCTTTAAAACTGGGAAGTGTGTGTCCTCTGACTTTGTTCCTCTTCTTCAAGATTGCTTTGGCTATTCTGGATCTCTTGTCTTTTCATATAAATTTTAAATTTTCTTATAAATTTCTGCAAAAATTGCATCTGGGATTTTGAGAGGGATTACAATAAATCTGTAGATCAATTTGGGAGTATTGCAATCTTTACAATATTAAGTGTTCCAATCTATAAACACAGGGCTCTTTTCATTTTTTTAGGTTGTCTTTACTTTCTTTCCATGATGTTTTATAGTTTTTGATGTACAGGTTTTGTACCTCTTTTTTTCCTAAGTATTTGTTTTTGATGCTATTGTAAATAGAATTGCTTTCTTAATTTCATTTCTGGATTGTTTACTGCTAGCATATAGAAATAAATTAATGTTTGTATATTGACCTTGTATCCTCATTTATTAGCTCTAAATAAATCCTAATTGGGACTTTCTATTTATGAGATCATGTCATCTGCAAATAGAGAGAGTTTTACTTCTTCCTTTCTAACCTGGATGGCATTAATTTCTTTTCCTTATGTTAATTGCCCTGCTGAGAACATTCGGTACAGTGTTGAACAGAAGTGGCAAGAGCAGACATACCTGTCGTGTTCCTGATCTTAGGGGAAAGTAGGCAGCCTGTCACCATTAAGTATGATGTTAGCTGTGGGTTTTTCATAAATATCCTTTAGGTTGAGGGAGTTCCCTTCTATTCCTAGGAGTCTTTGTATGTCTTCCCCAGTATCTGCGTTCAACTCACTGCTGAGAAAGGAGGAGTGTCACAGTGACCACAGCAGATCTGCAGTTCCTCCCCCTGAAAGCATGTTGAGGTGTTACTGCATAGAGCGAGGCAAGGGTATTTCATATTTATTTTCTAGCTTTCTGTAGTTTCCTACCAGGTTCTTACAGCACAGGAAAGGGTTCCTCGGCACTTTTCTGTTTGAGGTCCTTCCTTTTGGAAGCTGCAGCAAATGGTAAAACCACCACATGTGGTTCCATTCCTATCAGGCCTGGGCAAAGGCGAAGGTCAGGGAAGACGTCCTGAGAAATATGACAGCTGCTGAAGTCCCAAGCATGCCTGCTGCCAAGGTCAGCTTAGGCCTGGGGTCAGTGCATTCTAAATGTGGACACAAATGGTTCCAGGAATAAGACTAGGAAAAAATCCCATTCCTACTTTTCCAAACTCCAGTCAATGTTAATATTAAACACTGTGATCTTAATTACATAGAAAATGAACACAGATCACAATATCCATGGTTCCAGGAATAAGACTAGGAAAAAATCCCATTCCTACTTTTCCAAACTCCAGTCAATGCTAATATTAAACACTGTGATCTTAATTACATAGAAAATGAACACAGATCACAATATCAAGATACAGCTTTGCCAGTAGTTGCAGTTAAATTTCCAAATCCCACTCAAAAATTTCACAAAACTGCTGCTCTCTTTCCTATCCTATTAGCCTGAAGCACTTTTGCCATGAACTCAGTGAAGGAGCCTTTCTTATATCTCCTGTTTTTCTTCCATTGCTTGCCCTTCCTCTTACTGCACATTTAGCCCCA